ACCGTAGCACCATCTATGAGAAATCTATGAAAGTATTTCGTCACCCAGTTAGGTGACTTTACAGCTACCAGTCCGTGCCTGACGCTATGTCATCTAAGCCACTGAACTAACCAGCAGACTTTACGAATTTTTCTATATGCTTATTGCAGATCTTTGATTTTGGTTTTTAACGACTTTTTGCCGTAACGCCATTTGTGAGAAATTTATTTCTTCACTCAAAGAGGTAGGTACCTTTACCGCTACCATCGCTGACTAGAAGTGTCGCAATAATAATTGTAATTTTTTAAGTTTATCGAATGTCACGATGTTTTAATTTACTATTATGATATTCAATTGATCTTATGAGAAGTAGGTATACTAGGGTACCTATTTATAACAATCATATCAACAGAATAGAGACGATTCAGAAACGCTTTGTTCGTAGTCTTGCTTCAAAATGGGGATTAAAAAAAAATTTGTAACATATACAGATAGGCTTAACCAATTCAAACTAGATTCGCTTTGCGTGAGACGGCAAGTAACTGACCTCCTGATGTTGCACAAAACAGTAAATTCCAAATTAGATACTGCAATTATAAGCCATGTTTCGCTGAATGTCAGTAATAGGTCTAATCGTAGGCAACATTTGTTTTTTTTTGGTGCCTTCTGCTAAAAATAATGTATCACATAACAGCCCTCTCATACGTTTATGCAGGCAGTATAATGTTTTATGTAAAGATCTTGATATATTCCACCAGAGCACCAACACATTTATAAAAATTATAAAAAGCCCGGACTGTAAGGAGAGAGGCACGTGAGTTGACTTAGTTAGCCACATTCATTAGTTTGCAAAATGTTATTTGTATGTTGTGCGTGGTTGTTATTGAGCTACAAATATGGTCGTTTCTGGTTAATGTCATAGTTTTACTTGTATTTGTAATTTGTATCTTGTGTGCCAAAATAAATAAAATAAAATATTTTTTTGTTAAATCACTCCACTAGTTTGCCTGGGGGTGCTGATTCGAATAATTTTTTCTGAGTGTTCCATCTTTATTTTAATAATTGCAAAAAACAATACTTATCACTATGTGAAATTCAAACTATTCAACTTATTTCACCTGGCACATAACAAATTAGGGGATGAATCTGATTTATTACTGAATTCAACAAAACTTGGCAAATAGATGTGTTTCCACAAACTTGTAAGGTCGATTTTTTAAATAAAAAATGTAAGGTTAAAGTGTATATCGTCTGCTTAAAGGTAAAACCACATAAGTGACATTTTCCACAAAAAAATTCCAAATTATGTACCAATTGTAAGAAATTCACCATCTTTCTGCTGATAAAACTCTCATCAAGTTTATAGCTTTTTCGTTATTGAGTTTCACGTGTAGAAAGATAGTGATTTTCTTACCATAGCTTTAAAGAGTTTTTGTGGAAAATGTCACTTATGTGGATTACGTTTAAACATTAAAACTTTAAACATAATATACCTACTCCCGGACACACAATCCGAACCACCTCGAATTTTTCTCGTAAAGGGCTAGATACAAAAATAGTGTTATCATCGAAGAAAATGTTTCCTCCGGTTTTGAAAATCCAAATTCCCACCAAGGACTTATGGAAAAGCCGTTGAGTACACAGTTTCAAATTTGCGTGATGGTTTTAGATCAATCAAACGTTGTTTAAGCTTCGAGCACATAATACTGAAAATGCGTGGTGGCACGAATTATGTGTTCGGGAGTCTACAACTATATATCTTACTAAATATATATGTAGGTATATAAATAAATAACGTACACACTCAACATAGCCCCGCAATAGGGAAACCCTGCGTCGCGGGTGCCATGGACACACACATAGACAACCACAAATTACACCCAAACTCACGAGAGAAATAAATGTAAGCCATACAAACATTTCTCCCGGCCCGGGAATCGAACCTGGGACCTCTGCGTGGCAGTCCAGCATGGTAACCGTTCGGCCACGGAGGCAGTATAATATTATGGTCACTTATTATTTCATTATATAATGAAAGTTTTAATCATGCATTTCAATTTTTACCCCTGGCACACTACCTCTCCTTATCTGTTCAGTTCTCCTCTGCCTCAAGGGTTGTCTGGAAGAGATCGCTTTCAGCGATAAGGCCGCCATTGCTCACATTAATTCTAAGTTGTCTATGTACTGTTTTTATTTTTGTGTGTGAGCAATAACGTGTATTATCTATCTGTCTATATATCTAGGGTATTTCTCTACAAAATTTCTTCGTAGCCTAAAATGTATACCGTACCTTAATACACGCTTCAATAATCTCCTCCGCATGCACCTGCATAGCAAAAGTATAAGTGTCAATTACGCGATCTGCTGTCAAAAACTTTTTCACATACTCTGTACATGCTTTCTGCAGACCTGGTATTAAATATTTTTCCCCTGCATAATACAGCTCGAGTACGTACGGGTAAGTTTCGTGTATGTCAGCTTTGTAGAGTAGCATCTGTTAAATAAAACGGATATTGGTTTTATTGAATATCATATGTTTGCTAATATGATATTTATTATAATTTTTTGTAGCTACGAGTGAAATAATTCGTCCAGGGACATACTGCTACTTTACCTATTTTTGCCACCAAGCAGTAAAGTGAGCATTACTGCGTTCTGGTTTAGAAGGGCAACGCTGCTGCTGAAATTACAGACATATGGGACTTGTCAACTTATGTAATATGATTTAAAGCTCTGAATGGCACTGCAACTGTTATGAACAGGCGTGTCACTTATCACCAGGCGCACGACTTGTTCGGCCCGCCACTTGGTATTATAAAAAAATACATGTATTTTTGTGAAAGAACTCCATTATCTTTGTTTTCAGTTTTTAATGACAAAAGGTGTAATTTTTGTATAAAATATTGTGAAAAAGGCAATAAAAACATTCGATAATTTACATTAATATTTACTAATATGACTAACTATTAAACCAGGCTTTAAAAACTAAAATTTATTTATAAATCAGCCAGAGTAACGCCAACAAATTTAAAATTAATTTATAGTTTTATAGCAAAAAATTAGTTTATAGTTTGGCTGTTTATCAATCACACAAAGTATTTCCTTAAAAATTTAGAACTTAATCTATAACTACAAAAGCAATTAATTTTCGGAAACTTGCGCGATTAATATCTTTCATTATTTTTTGTACATGACGAGGTAATGCAGCTTTAAAATCTTTCCTTCCGCTTTTTCTTCGCATACCTCTATCTTTTTCTTTAAACCTTTCATATATAATCGTATCGCTATTTATCTTTGCTTTTCTAGCACGTTCCTTGATCTTCTTGATTTCCAATTTTTGGTTTCTGTTTTGATATTCCTTATTCATTTTCAGTGGGAAGCAAGGAGTAATATAAAATTGTGAAAATCAACAGTATCAACTAAACGTTTATGTGAAAAAACGTATAAAATTCTTGCTTTTCAAAAAAAAATATGGGTTCGATGACAGGTTTTCCGACGTCTGTGGAAGCTTCTCTGAATTCGGTGGCATAAAACCCATCGAATCCAAGACCACGGGATTGAGAAAATATGCATATTTTTGATATTACTCGTAAACGACAATATTTGTAAAACCTATAAATTGTTATTATACTTTAGTCGTTACAACACATAGTATAAAAAATATTATATACAACCATAAAATTTAGTTTTTCCAATATCCAATACACCGAATTCAAAAATCAACCTGGACCAAATCCACCGAGTTACGTATTTTCACGCAAAAAGTTCTAAAATCGTCAACAAACCGTCCACCTGTTTTTTCCAGCTGCAGCGGGTGATGGATGAAAGAAAGAAAGACAGAAAAACGTTTATTCATTAAAATGAGCCACTATACGCACTTAATTCTAATACTTAACACTAAAACAACAAATGGCTGCGTGATTTTAAATTAGTAAATGTGTATAGTGGCGCAAAAGAAGAAAAGGTTACGACTTAGCAATATGTCTATCTCGGGCGAGACAGACGCTGATTTTCAGTCGTTCCTGTTTCAGCGTCGGCTGAGACCTAAGGAAATGGTACATGCTCCGTGTATCTTCTGCTTTATGCCACACTACACATTTACAATACACGTGTGATACTTGTATACATACAAAGGTACAAGTAAATATACATAAATATAAATAAGTTAGAACACAAGAGTTGGGAACATCCGGCATCAGAGCATACGCTGGTTTTCTATCAATAGATTTTTCATACTTTTTGTAAATACGAATTTTGAGATTGGCTGTCTAGTGAGGAGGCAGATTGTTCCAGCATTTAGATGCCCGATACCGGAAGCTACCCTCAAAGGCTCTTGTTTTATGGAATGGCGTTACCAATAAAAAACTATTGACTGCGTGAATTATAGGAATAAGTCCGCCATTTAAATTGGCATATAGATAAGGTGGACTTTTGTATCTAACAACA